AAAAAAAAAAAAAAAAAAAAAAAAAAAAAAAAAAAAAAAAAAAAAGAAAACGAGGGTTTATACACAGTTATATGGTTGCTTGATAGTTATATGGAAAGTGGTAGTATGATAGACATTTTTTTAGGGTTTAGGGTTTATAATTTAGGGTTTAGGGTTTAGGGTTTGTTATTGATTATTTATTCATTAGGGTTTAGGGTTTGGGGGTTACTGACTCTTTACTGCTTTTTGTTCGTTGTTTAGGGTTTACGGGTTTTGGTTTATAATTTAGGGTTTAGGGTTTATCAGTTCATTATATATTATATACTATTTGGGGTTTAGGGTTTAGGGTTTATATAAATACTTTAATCTGCGGTACTTCAACGATTTTTTCAATCCATTGAATTTCAACTTTTGGTACTTTTTATTATTCCTTATTTCTTATAAATAATTATTCATTATTATTTATTTATTTATCAATTAGGGTTTAGGGTTTAGGGTTTAGGGTTTAGGGTTTATGCAAATAAAATACTTTAATCTGCGGAACTTCAACGATTTTTTCAATCCATTGAATTTCAACTTTGGGTACTTTTTTTTAATTTCTTTCTTCTTATAAACCATCATTCATTATAATTTATTTAATTAGGGTTTAGGGTTTAGGGTTTAGGGTTTAGGGTTTATATGAATAAAATACTTTAATCTGTGGAACTTCAACGATTTTTTCGATCCATTGAATTTCAACTTTGGGTATTTTTTTGATGACATCTTGAAACGTAATTTTTGGAATTAATTTTTCAACAACATGAATTTCAGGAATTTCAACAATTCTATTTCTACGAATTGTTTGGTTTATCATTGGCACATATATCACCTCTTCGGTGCCTGCTGCTGCAGCAGCACCAGCAGCAGCAGCAGCAGCAGCAGCAGCAGGAGCAGCAGGAGCAGGAGCAGTAGCAGGAAGTAGAGGCCGTATTACACACACACACACACACACAAACAAAAACGAAAGAAAACGGAAATATATATATATATATATATATATATATATAATAATAGAAGCAGCAACAACAGCAGCAACAGCAACAGCAGGAATTGCAACAGGAGCAGAAGCAGCAACAACACCAGGAGCTACAGAACGGAAAGCAGCAGCAGCAGCAGCAGAAGCAGCTGCCGAAACAGCAGCAGCAGCAGCAGCAGCAGCAGCAGCAGCAGCAGATAAACTCTCACCTGTATTCTGTACTCCTGGGGGGCAACACGGCGCATAGGGGGGAGGGGGGCCAGGGGTATAACCCTCCATTTTCTATAAGTGTAGCAGCTGCTGCTGCTGCTGCTGCTGCTGCTGCTGCTGCTGCTGCTTGTGTATATATAAATATAAATAAATATATATATAGACTCTATACGAAGATATGTATATATTTGTATATATATAAGTACAATGTGTGTGATATATTATATGTATATTCTAGATATATGTGTATATTGTTCTATGGAAGGAAAGAAAGAAACAAGAAACAAATGTCCTTCACCGCAATATTCTGAGGTGTATATACAGTTGAAATATCTTTCGATGCCGGAGAGAAGAGCTGCTGCTGCTGCTGCTGCTGCTGCTGCTGCTGCAGCAGCTTGAATATTGTTGGTTGTTTATATGCTTGTATATAGATAACAATACAAGAAATGTTTGTATGGGTTTGTTCAGGACGCTGCGGATTCAAATTGATGATAAAGAGGAGTTATAAAGAAAGAAAAACAAACAAAAGCACAAAATAAAAGATTCAAGACAAAACAAAAACAAATGAAAATGTATTATTAACTCGGACAAAGAAGGGTTCTATGCGCTTCAGCAATCCTTGCGTTGCTGCTGCAGGGATTTGCATCAACGGCATTTATTTGGAATAATAAAGAAAAATGAATTACTAGACAAGAAGAAAACATGAAACAAATGATAATTCTTACAAAACACAAACAAACACTACCGTGTGTGCATCAATACCATCATAGACCGCCAGGCCCACAGGAGCAGCGGACTGGTGAATGTTGCAACTTAATATGAAACGAATCAAGAAAAGAATTCATATTTATTTATGCTTTTCTAATTGTAGATGTGTTTTCTATGAAGAAAACTTCATAGATTCCATGCTATTCAACTCGATCAGTTTCTGGGGTGTATGTACTGTACCACCGCCCGCGCGACGATGCTGGCTGATGAAACACAACACTAGCATGCGATCCTCTTGAAAAATTCAAATTTCAGAGAAAAATAAATCCTTAGTTGTATAATTCTATTTATTTAAAATTATTCATGAAAATATGAAAAGCAAACGAGTACAGATCCTCATTTTATGCGGTGTTTCCCTTATTTTCCTTGTGGGCCAGTGGAACGGAACGCCAGTAACTGCCGTTCCAATCAAAAAAAAATGCAACTGCTGCCGCTGTCACCGTGGCTTGAGTTCTTCTTCAGAAGAAAAGAGAAGAAATGCAGCCAAACATGCGGCGGAGATCGCAGAAGGTAAGAAGAAATTCAACTTCGTCTCTGTATACAATTCATGTTTCAGTAACAAATATTCAACTTTAGCCAGAGCTCAGGGCCAGCTTGCAGGCGCCAAGGATGCAGAAACCTTCACCAAGCCTCTGCCGCAAGTACCAGCAGAGAGAACGCCGCACACCGTAGTGAGAACATATTGAACTGTACACATTCTCCTCGTCTCGTCTCGTGTTGTGTTGCATGCATGCATGCACTGCATGCATGCATGCATGCATTCAACGCCTCTGCATGCGCTGCATAGAACTCTTATAAATATTCATAAAGTCACATGTACCCAATTCTGGAGAGGCGAAGATAAATGACGAGTAGGCCGACAACATATAAACAGAAAAAAACACAGAAAAATAAAATGCAATACAAACCGATGCATGCAGGCATCTCCCCCCCGAACGACCTAGCCATCGTAATTCTAATAAAACAAAAATAAAGAGAAAACAAATAACACAAAATACAACAAACAGACAAAGCTGAAGCCGTGCAAGAGGCAGAAGAGATCGCACACAGCTTAGAACGAACAGCTGCGGTGAGAGCTGTATGTACAAAGAAAAGCAAAATTCAGAAAACTTTTATTTAAATTATTTCAGTTAAGAGCTTCCCTTAGAGGAAATGCAGAAATAGAGGAAGAAGAATAAACAACACAAGTCAAAGCTATATATATATATATATATATATATATATATATATATATATATATATATATATATATACCTATGCATACATAAAAGTATATATATTTGTACACCTGCAACAGTCCACATATGCAAACTCAAATTTAGAAATCTTTTTACGCGTTGTGCTGAGATTTCAGCATTTCCGCAACTACTTAACGTTTCGCAACAGCTGGCAATGAAAAAAAAGATATAAAAAGAAAAATTATTTTTTTTTAATTTTTTGAATATAACGGAAAGCAGCAGAAACATAGAAAACAGAAATTCGCTAAAAATGTAGAAACAAATTGTATAAAGAAGATGTGTTTTCAGGTTTCTTTCTTTATTTAATCTGTTTATTAAAACAAAAAAGGAGAATTGCAATTTGAATGAAATATTATTCGTTAATATATTCTCCTTTTATATGCAGCTTTCTCGCTTTGCAAAATTCAAAAGAAATTCATCTTGCGGTGTAACTTGAGGTGTACGTACACCTCAATTGTTGAACGATATTTGTGAATATGAGCCGTCACTTTATTTATTTTGAAAGAAAGCGATCTGAAAAAAGCAGAAAAGATGAAATTTCAAGCGGCTTTTCTCGCAATAAATAATGTTTTTTCGGTTTATTCTCTTCTTGTTCGCGATCGTTTGAGGTGAAATTCTTTTTTTTTTTATTTTTTTTTTTTTCTTTAGTTGAAAATTCAGAAACACAGAATCGATACTATGGGGCATTTTGGGCATTTCATCCCGAGGTGTGATTCTCTTGTGGTGAGTAATTCCTTAAAATAAATTAAAAATAATTAAATTAATTTAATTAAATTATTTTCAAAACAACAAAAAAAAAACAAAAAAATAAAAATATTACAGCCAGAGTCAAGCACTTCATCTACGTGTTGTTGGTCTTCTTGCGGTTCTGTTCCCCCAGAGGCTCATTGCAGCGGCCAAGGCGAAAGTAAGACCGAAACCTTTTGTTTTATATTTTATGAATTTAATTTATTTAATTAAATCAAAATGTATTTATATAGACTGGCAACGATCGTTCATATTGAGAGAAAGGCCTCTGAAACAAACAGCAAAAGGAGCATACGGTAAGCAAAAAATAAATTTATAAAACCATCTACAGAAAAAAAAAAAAAAAAATTCAATAAATTTAAAATCTATGAAATACAATACACAGGATGTTCTCAGCTAGAGAGACGTTTCCTGTGTTCTTTGTTGAGCGCAAAGAACAAAGAGTGCACCCCTGAGCTTGCAAAAAAGGTAATGTATGAATGTAAACTCTTTATAAACTCTAATTTTTTTTCGTACAAATATAAAAAAAATAAAATATTATACTGCATATACAGCTGAAACCCGGGGATCAATGCTACACAAAGTGTGGAGAGCCGCAATGCCCCGAAGGTGACTTTATAGATCCGAGCCCTACTGAGGATTTCAAGGTGAGTATAAAAAAACAAAAAAAAAAAAATAAGTTTTTTTGTTTTCTTTTTCTTTACGGGTCCCTCTAT